TGTGGAGTTGCACAGTCACCTGAGCTGGAATCAAACCCAGGTTCTCGGCACTGTGAGGCAGCAGTGCTAACCACTGAGCCACCATGCCACGTTCACGTCCAAATGTGTTTTAAGTGTTGTAACTGTTACCTGCATCTACCCTTTCCTCTCGCAGTTCATTCCATGGAAGAGACACCCTATCTGTGAAAAAGTTGCACCTCAGGTCCCTTTTAAATCTTTCTCCTGTCACCTTAAAATTACACCCTCTGGTTTTGAACTCCCCTAGGGAAAAGACCTTTGTTCTTCACCCTATGCCCGTCAATATTTTATAAACCTTTCTCAGGTCACCCCTCAACCTCCTACTTTCCCAGCTTATCCAGCTTCTGCTTATAACTCAAACCCCCAGGTCCAATAAAATCCTTGTAAATCTTTTCTACACCCTCCCCAATTTAATAACATCCTTCCAACAGCATGGCAACCAGAACCATACACAGTCCATCTAAAGTGGCCTTACCAACATGTTGTACAACCACAATATGATGACCCAACTGCTACACTTAATGGTCTGAGCAATGAAGGCAAATGTATGAGCAAAAACCTTCTCATTAGGATGTGGGTCTACGTCCAGTTCCAATTCCAATTCAGGCACAATCCATCTGACTTGTACCAGTCTCACTTTCCCCAAGAACAGACCCAGCTGCCCCTTGACCCAAACATTTGGCTACCCACACGGGTGCCCTCCTTACCCTGGTTCTATGCCTGATTTTGCCTTGTAGTGCTTGATTGACCCACCTCAAGGGGAGTTCTTGTGCTCCTGTAATTAATAATGTTGCAGCCCACAGCAGCAGCTCAACTGTAAAGTGCCCCTCTACAGGGCAAGAGGACTCTTGTGGCACAGCGGTAGTGGTACCCACCTCTCAGCCAGGGGGCTTGTATCCAAGTCCCACACCCTCCTACAAGAGAGGGGTGTGTGTCTGTGTGAATGATCTATCTGAATGGGGTGACCAGGAAACATATCCCTCCCTAGAACAGACATGGCCAGGCCTGCAAAAGCCAACTGGATTTGGAAGAGAAGGGGAGGGGGAGGGAAGGACTATACATGCTGTTTAAGCTCGCTGCAGCAACTGACAGACTCTTCAGGATCTGTAAGTCATCAGAAATCACTCAGCAGATCTTCTCCATTGACCTGCAGGCCCAGCAGTGACCACCAAGAAACTCACCTTGCAGCCTGAAGCCAACAAGTGCCCAACTTCGCCGCCGCCATCTTTGATCAAGGCATGCGCAAGGACCCTGACCCCACCTCCCACATTTACAGCTGTCTACCCGATCCGCCCGTCGTTCTGGCTACTCTCCTGTGCAACTCGCCCTCGCTTTTATCGCACGGACCGTGATTCCAAAAAGCGAGTTTAAAAACCTTGACTCGCGTCGGCTTTTTTCGCCGGGCCGGGAAAACGCGGTCAGGCTTTCTGGTGAGACGACCCGACTGTGCCGCGGATAGGTGTAGAGCTGGATGAACACAGCAGGAAGGCTGAGGTTACGGGCCTAGACCCCTTCTTCCTGCTCCTCTGATGCTGCTTGGCCTGCTGTGTTCATCCAGCTCTACACCTTGTTATCTCAGATTCTCCAGCATCTGCAGTTCCTACTATCTCTGTGCTGCGGATAGAGCGGTTTCTGTGGGCGTGGCTAAGCCACAAGGACCCCTAGGTGGACACCACTTCCAGCAGCAACATTGCTCCAGAGCTTGGAGACTGCAGACCAGGGCTTCGTCATAGAGTCATACAGCACAGAAACAGACCCTTCAGTCCTACCAGCCCGCGCCGACCATGTTCTCAAACTAAACTAGTCCCCCTTGCCTGCGCTTGGCCCATATCCCTCCAAACTTTCCGATTCGTGAACTTATCCAAATGTCTTTTAAACGTCGTTAACTACCTGCACCCACCACCTTCTCTGGCAGTTCATTCCACATATGAATCACTTTCTGTGTAAAGAAGTTGACCCTCACGTTCTTTTAAAATCTTTCTCCTCTTAGGGTGGGGGACGTGTAGAATGCGCTGTCGGCAGTAGTAGCGGAGTCAGATACTTTAGAGACTTTTAAGCGACCCTTGGATAGGCACATGGAGGATAGTAAAATGTAGGGTACGCAGGGTAGTTTGATCTTAGTAGGATAATAGGTCAGCACAACATCGTGGGCCAAATAGCCTGTACTGTTCAATGCTCACCTTAAAAATATGCTCCCTCATTTTGAACTTCCCACCCTCAGGAAAAGACCCTTGTCATTCACCTTATCTATGCCCCTCATGATTATATAAATCTCAATAAGATCACTCCTCAACACACCCCCCACCCCAACTTCTTTGGACTTGAAACTTTCACCCTCCTTTATTTCCTTACATAGGCTTCGAGTAATTACTAGATAAAGTTTTTCATCGCAACATAGAGCATTAGGCTATTTGCATCTGAAACCAAAATTGCTTGAGAAACGCAGGACGTCTCGCAACATCTGTGGACAGAAAAAAGCAGAGAGAGAGAGAGAGAAAGCAGGATTAATGTTGAGTCCAGTGACTCTTCTGCAGAACAGTTTTGAATAATTAAACTTACTTTCTCTCCATTTTTGTTTCAGATTTCCAGCATCCACAGATCTTTGTTTTATTTAGGGGCTGTTTATATCATTTGATATGATCATGGTTGAACCTCTATCAGATGCATATTCTCCCCATGCTGCCTTTAAGATCTAAAAAATAATATCTCTCTCTCCTTCTTGTATCTATTCAGTCAGTTGACCTCCACTACACTCATAGAATCCTGACAGTGTGGAAATAGGCCATTCAGCCCATCGAGTCCACACCGACCCTCTGAAAAGCATCCGACCCCGACCCACATCCCTACTCTATCCCTGTAACCCTGCATTTCCCATGGCTAACCCTCCTAGCCTGCACATCTCTGGACAATTTAGTATGGCCAGTCCACTTAAACTACACCTCTTTAGACGATGGGAGGAAACCCACACAGACATGGGGAGAATGTACAAACTCCACATAGACAGTTGTCTGATGTTGGAATCAAACCCAGGTCCCTGGGACTATGAAACAGTAGTGCTAACCACTGAGCCACCATGCCTGCCCCTAAACAAAGACAGACAATCAGGGCTTGTTTGGGAGAAGAAATTCATTCACATCGTGGCGCCATGGTGGCTCAGCAGTTAGCACTGCTGTCTCATAGCACCAGGGACTTGGCGTTGATTCCAGCCTCAGTCGACTGTGTGAAGTTTGCACATTCTCCCTGAATCTGCATGGGTTTCCTCCCACAGCCCAAAGACACGCAAGTTAGGTGGACTGGCCACGCTAAATTACTCATGTCCAGGGATGTGCAAGTTAGGTGGATTAGCAATGGGAAATGCAGGGTTAAAGGTCAACCAGTGCAGACTCAATGGGCCAAATGGCCTGCTTACATACTGTTGGAATTCCATGTTTTTATCTGTTTTAAATCAGTGTCTCTTTATTTCTCAACTCTGTCACAGAGTTTGAGATTTGTGGAAATGTACTTTCAGAAGCCCCCTCAGAATCATGAATATTTCATCAAAATCACTTCTCATTCTTCTGGAAATGAACACAAATGAATAAAGTTCTAATCTCTGATGCCATTGTTCATAAACGAACGCTTTCAGCTCACGAATCAGCCTCTTAAGTCTCTTGTGAACAACCTCAAATGGCAAGTTGGGAGGTGGGGGTACTAAAACTCTCCATATAACTCAGGGTAAGGACTCACCTGCAACATCCCTTCACAGTTTTTATGTTCTCTTCACAACTTAGTTCTGAAGAAAGGTTACTGGACTTTAAACTTGGATGCTGTTTCTCTCTCCAGGGATACTGCCAGATCAATGGGAGTTTCTCTACCAGTTTCTGTTTTTGTATTAGTTTCTTCTTACCTACTTGGATATTGTTGCCACAGGTGTAAAACAATTTAGCAACTAGCTTGGATCCAATGACAACCTTTCAAAACTGTTGGGCAGAAATATGCTTGTTGCCAAGTTTCCAAGCCACAGAAGTATCAAAGTGATTGGTGTTATTGTCTCAAATGACCACAGGCCATTCTATCACCAAAGAGAGGCATTTGGAGGAGTGTCATTTTACAAATTGTGTTTAAACAACACTTCAATGAACCAACTGGTGGGAAAGAATGGGAATTTTATTTTAAAATGCTTTTCTCAGATTATGTGTGGGAAACAACCACGCATTTATGTAACACCTCCTCAAAAGAAAACGATCCCAAAAAATTATTCCATACCACTTGTTAAACTGAACTGCTTTCAGGAAAATATCATTCCCCAGCTTAAGTTCCCTCAAACAGCCAGTTCATTCAAAAATAGAAAGAGCTGGAGACACTCAGCATGCCTGGCAGCATCTGTGGAGAATAAACAGTCAATGTATCTGTTCCAGTGACACTTTATCACCAAAATATTAACTCTGCTTTCTCTCCCCTTTTGCTGTCAGACCTGCTGAATTTCTCCAGCACTTTGTTTTTTGTTTCAGAGATCCAGTAGATGCAGTTGTTGATTTTATTTTTGGCAGTTCATTCATCTTTTTTGTGTTTGCGGTTGATGATGCAAAGAAAAAGGGCACAGTCAGTGACAGCAGCCTGGTCTTCTCGGATGCCTTGGGAATTTTTTGATACGTGCCCCAGCCACACAAAAAGCACATTCAAGCTTACTTTTCTCTCTCATCCAAGACACGAACTGGGCAGCACTCCCCAGTCATTACACATGTGAGATGACGTGTTCAAGTTCTGGAATGGAAGTTCAGCCCTTTAATTTCAAAGCAACAGTGACATCAAGTGACCAATGCTGGCAATCATCATGCATAAAATATCAATAAGAGAATACATTTGTATGAGAATTGGTGACGGATGAATCATTCTCTCAGGTCACGCAAACATTAGTTATAGCAGGCAATGAAAGGAACAACTTGCCATTATCGATTCAAAGTAAAACATCACACATTGTATTCTCAACAAGATCATTTTAATACAGATGCTTTGAAGTCTTTTTTATAATTTCTTCACAAAAAACTAGAGATATACAGCACTATTGAACACCGGAATACAATTAAAACGAGCTGCAGTGGGGAAAAAAAATAATTATTTCTCACAGAGGCACATGAACAAGCATGGAGTATGGGTAAAAGTCAACATATCCAACCCAGTTCATATGCAGAAATACAAATGATATTCAGCATTTAGAATCCAAACCAGGGGCTTTCTTTGGGTGACTTCTTCAATGCATGATTGTTGTCTATATTGCTTTAAGGAAATCCATTCTTGAACAACAGTTGTGTTGTCAGGCAGTAAACAGAAATTGCAATTTGAAATTCCTTCACCCAACAACCCCTGATCAGGCCACAAGAATGAAAAAAAAACACAAATCCGATTGAATTCACCACTTAATACTTTAGTGTAACCTTAGTAAGTTCATTCACCCCATATCTTCAGCCTGTACTAATTTTGTTACTGATTTTTATTTTAAATCCTTTGTTCCTAAATTTTATCCATTTTCCCCAAATGGCTTACACAGAGTCCAATCCTTGGTGTGGAAGCAGAGTGATGCAAATGGGTCATCCTGCTCACCCTGTGCTGAATTCGCACATGTGGGCTTTGGTGCAGAGCCAAGATTGACCTCCAATATCAATGGGCCTCAGGTGGGAGAAGGGAGAAGATAAGGTTCCTGCTCCTGCTTCCTCATCTCCTGTGACACCAGGTAGAAAGTCTGGATTCAGCTGAGGTTACAGTGGCATTTGGAGGGGATACCAGCAGTGATTGGGCTGCCAACGCACATCCAATCATACCCTAGCAACATGCACAGCTTTGGACTGGGAAGTGAGCAGTAAACAAGAAGTGGAAACACCCGATTGATCCCTTGTTTAGAGCAGTGAAAATTCATTCCAATGCAACACTAAGTCTTGACTGCACGTGCGGGGCAGTAAACAATGCACTAAAACTGGGGATGGAGTTAAAGGTGCCCTGCTGCTCATGTCAAGAATGGGCTTTTCAAAAGGTGCATCCATGAAGGTAAGAAACTGTAAACTATTTGGTGAAAGCAGTACGGTAAACACTGTAAAAATGACACGTTCCAATACATGAAAAATGTTACTCAACTGAGATCACAAAGGAATGTCGTCCATAAACTGTCCAATTTGAAGTGTTGCTTCCAACAATTTGCTCCTCGTCCTGTCATTTTGTGCTAATGAAGAACACCTGTCTTATAATCCTTGAAATTATCCGGTGTGAAGATTGCACAAACGTCTAATGCATTCACATTAAATTTACTTGCCTAATTTATCAGATGATTAACTTCTGTCCAGTTAAATTAAACATCTTAATAAAAATAGCAAAATAATGCCTTGCAAATGGTGTAGCCTCAGGACTCTCATCTGAGTAACAGTGAGGTGATTGATGTCTAGAGGCAGGATACAGTCAGAGAACTGGAGGATTGGGGGAGGGTGGTGAGGAAAAATACAAATGCGATCCTGCTGGAAAGGTGCAAAAGAGTTGTGCAATGCCAGAATTTTGCTACATGGTCTGGAGTTTAGGAAAATCAAGCAATTTTGCCTGAGAGTGCACCTACTGGTTTAAACAGATAATTGCAGCCAAATAGATAAGATCATCAGCCAAAATTTATTTTCCTCCAGACCAATCACCTTGTCAAAACATTGTTAACACATATTAGGATATTAAATAAGGATATGGAACAAACAAGTTGAGAGGTTGCTGCCTTTGGTAAACCTTTGATTTGGTGATGAATAAACCAAGTTAAACTGACATTAGCCTCTTTTTGTTGAGCAGGGTTTCTGTTGCCTGTGCACTCTTAAGACTCGAGACAGGATTTTCGTTGTCTCACCAATGCCACCTTACTCCTTCCCTCCATGTCTCATGCCCCAACGCTCCTTAATTTGAGTGCTGGAACTCCTTAGAACCAGTATCAGGCATAAACAGAGTAGCACCAAGCTCCCACAACCAGTGACCACTAAAACAGACCGGTCAATAGTTCCCAAATTAAGAGGTGGTTTTCTACTTGGTGCATATCTGGAAAGGAGAAGAATTATAAGGAGGTGAATTTGTAGTGGCACAGATGAATCTCAGAAGAGAATGCAGTAGGGACAGCCAATGTGCCTTTCGTGTTTCTATAGCAACACACAATTTGGGAGCTGTGGGTTGTCGAAGAATTGACACTTTTCAAATAATCAATGCCAGCCTGGGAGAAACTTGTTCTTAAAAACTAAAGATGCCCAAAACTTAAAATTGAACTTAGTCAGCATACTGTAGTTTTAGTTTGCAAAGATGAAGCCCCTTGATGGCAGACAAGCCAAATATTCCTCAAATATTCCCTTTTCTTTGTGACATATTTTGTTGCTCTTAATTATGACAATAGCAAATTCCAACCACTCAATCTCCCCACCACCTCCAACAACACTAAGCCAGTTCTCTGAAATGCTTTCCAAAGAAGATATTATCTGCACAGTGACAATCCAACCCTGTCACTTCTTTCTTTTAAAAAAACTAGCTTGGAAACTTAGATAGCAGTGGGATTCAAACTTGTGTGAGCACAGAGTGTGAAATCTTAGTCCAATGCCTGAGATAATTTAGCTATGCAGCCATGCTGACAAAATGAGCTACCCTGAAGCTGTGCTGTGAATGCTTTTGAAAAATGACCATTGAAACATTTGGAGCAAGATTGCAGTTGTTACCTCAGAACAGAAGAAATTTCCACCCCAGAGCAATTAGCAAGCCAGCCCGCTGGACAGACGGGAAGTTGTGCAGCAAGTTCCACAATGTGTCTGCATCTCAATTTGTGCCAGACAGCTCCCAAAGCCCATCAAGACAAGCCAGGCATTCAAGCATAAACAAATTCATAAAACACTGCATTGAAATGCAACCGCCGAACAGAGGGCCTTTGGATTTACAGAGCAGAAACATACAATTCAGCTAAAAACACTACCTTATCTGCATAATTTTTGAGTTTCTTTTGTGCCAAACTGGGGAGTGTTTCCAAGTATACATGTAGAACACATTTTTTGAGGGGTTGCAAAGAACACTCCTGAGCCAATTCAAAACGTGATGGGGACAGAGGGATAGGAGCCAGAAAACTCTCTGTAAAGCAGCACTGTTTTAGTATGATACTTGCTCAAAACACTGTCAGCTTGGACCTCAGAGAAGCACAATGAACTTCAAGCAGCTCAAGTCTTTTCAGTTTCATTTAGAACAAATGAAAAGGTGAAAAGGTGAAACAAACTGCTAAAACCAAACAGAGACAATAAAACCTTATTCTCAGAATGGAGAACACTGTGCAAAATGATGACCTGCATCATAAGGAGTGTCCATATATTAGTTAAGTTAGTGCCTCTTGTCTCCTTGCGGCTTTGTTCTGCCTGATGACAACTACATTATGGCAGCCTATGGCCACTTTGTGGAGACTTCTCCAAAGGAGGCTTGCAACAGGTTTGTTCAATCAATTCATAATTGGTGACTCCCTTAACATAAAAATACAAATTGTGGAAACCACAAATGCTGGGCCCACACGGCTGAGCAGTCACTTATCTGCAAACAGCAAAGAGGTTCTGACGTTTCTTGGGACACATGCAACATCAGAATTGGTCTCCCCTTTATAAAATCAGGAAATGCAAGCAAAACTCAGCAGGTCAGTCAGCATCTGTAAGGTGTTTCAGGTCCGAAGTAGGTTATTCAGAGGCTGAGCAAGGGTTAAGTGATGAGAATAAGTTGCATGGCTTGTAGACCCTGGAACATTTGAGCTTATAGGGAGATCAAGAGGGTAGCTAAGAGAGAAACTATTTCCTTTGGTGGGATAATCCAGAACAAGTGGGCATCACCTCAAATCAAATGCAGAGCTATTTCATTCAAAGACAACACTGGGTCGCACAAGTCTGGAACTCAGCTCAAAAAAGGTGCTGAAGCTGGGGCTGAATTGAAAATTCAAAACTGGGACTGATAATCTTTTATCAAGCGGGACGTTACAAAATTGTGGCAGTTAAATTTCAGACACACAGCAGCCAGAATGGAATTAAACTGCCAAACAAACCGGGTGAGCAGAGTGGGAAGCTCCTGTTCCAATGATCTTTATACACATGCTGACTGACTGACTGGGTGTCACCAGCAATTTCTGTTCATGAAAATCCATTATTCATACCTGCCTACTCACTCATCTTCTGGAATCACACTTTGTTGTTGTCTTCGTTTTTGCATGCAAACATTGCACAATATATAAGAAAGAAAATTTTCCAAAGAGGGTCCTGACCTCCTGGAATAAGTCAAAGGCCACTTGATCAAATACCAACACAGGAAAGGCCGTGTGAGCAGGTGACAGGAGCAGAACCTGCATGGTCAGCAGAGTTCCAAACTTCAGCTATTTCTAATGACCAGTAGTTTTGAAGTACAGACACCCAGCGACGACAGAGTTGGGGAGAAGCAAGAAACTGATGCTCTCACATTGGAGTCTGATTGGTAGAAACCTGTGACAATTCAATGGCAAGACAATTTTCATGGTAACACAGGGATGACAGCAAGTTTCAATGGGATCCCAATAAAAATGTCAATTCTTGAACTGCCACTTGGTTTTTGAAATCCTGCCAAATTTAACAGTCCAGTCAAAGTGACCGCAAAACACATGAGGCACAATCTTTCTCAGACTTGGATTCGAATTTCATCAAAAGCAGTGAATCTCTCTCCAGGTCTCCTTTTCACCCAGCATGGCTTCCACACGCGCACAGCAACTTATTGTTCAGCCGAGAACAGACCTCTGCCCTGATGGAAAATGAGGCCATGATGAGGTCAGCCACATCAACACCAGGCAGGACAGGCCGCTGATGACTGACCCTCTAGATTAGCTGACGGTCTACTCAGGTCTGATTACTCCACTGCCATAGACAGTCAGGGGGACAGACAGGCGCACTGCATCCAATTTTCACAGCAAATCCTTCCAGGATTGCAAGACTGCTAAATTACGTTCAGTGGGATTTTTGAAACGAAGTGGCAATCCAACTGCTTTTTTCCAATAACAATTGTATTGATTTCGTCAAATGCCTGATTTCATTAAAGACAGGCCAAGTCTAGAGAACGGAAGCTGCAGCGAAATGAAGAAGCTTCTTATTTTGAATGTAAGTATCTTCTGGTATCCATAGCTTGGGCCATGTACAATCCATTAAAATTCCCAAGAACTGTGATTTTAAAAGCTAAGGAGGGAACCGACAGGACTCGTGCCAATATGCTATTTGGCAAAATTATTTTAGCAGCATTTTAACTATTATTGCCAACATTGCAATCAACCCCTCCTCCCATTAGTGCCAATGCACTTCTAAACCCAGCTCTCTCAGGCATTGCTACCCGAGAACTAGTACCAAACTGGCTTGCAAGGGCAGGATGGTGAAACTACAGTTGTAGAATAACACTGATTGGAAACTACATCCATCTTCAAACGTAGTTTAGTGACGGTGATTTGGTTGGAAGCTTAAACAACATTTGTTGATCGATAGCATGCTGACTGTTGAATGGAGTGGTCACATACTGGATCCAAAAAAAAATCATATTTTCTCAATGTATACCTCTTCTGATAAATTGCAAAAATCTTACTGGGGATGAAAGTTTGGGGCGCAAATTAATTGTTTCAAACCTCCTCAGCTTTTTTATTTTGTTTATAACAAGAATGAGAGATCTCCAGTGGAGTCACTCAAATAAAGAGTATTAGCTAACTTATAGTCACACTCAGGGTTGCATTCATTGTCTCAAATCAATGGGCAAACACTGAAAGGATCTATGATTGTATCATTCAAATGTAGTGTTCAGTGTGCAATTGAACAGCGTTTACACAGCACCACAGTGTCACTTTAAACCTCACTTCACACTTCTGGAGGGCAGCACTGTCAGAACAGCAGCAGAATTGTGTTACTATCAATGTCTAGAAGCATGCAGTACCCCAATTCAACACACACACTCAACTTCTGGAAATAACCTAGTCTGGTTTTAAAAGGCACTATTAAATTGCATTTTTTTCTCCTTCAATTTACAGTTATGCAGCATAATAACATTTGGTTGCATGGTAGTGTTTTATATTTACAAATTTAATGCAGTGTATAAAAGATAATCATAGCCGCAAGGAGGCAAATCACTCAAAGGACTGAACACTGTGCTCTGTGAAACACTTGTGCAATTTTGGTCACCCCAGCTTCTAAATTGAGGTTTAAGCTGAGATCAAGCGCACAACTTCAATGAAGTTGGGCTTCTGCAAACTCTGCTGAAAAGCCAGAGAGACATCCAAGCAAACTGCAAATGCAAACCATTTGATGTTCTTCGTCCACTGTCTTGAGGCCTGGCTGAACCATGCTTGTCTGGAATCCATAACTCAGGCACAGTGTGGAATTGGCTTGTGGCTTCACTGCCTCGGCCAGGTAGAAAGTGGTGGTCTTTTCTGTCACAATGAGCGCCTTTCAGAGAAATACAGGATTATTTGCACAATACCATGGCCTGAGATTTTGACAATTTAGCAGGTGCAACACAGTTCTGTGAAGGTGGTTATAAAGAGAGTGTCATGGTCCTTAGCTGGCCAAGTGTTTCTCGTGAGATGCTGCATACGTAACCGATGCTTCGGCCAAATCACTCGATTGCACATTAAGTCTTCGGATTTCGGGATTTAGTGGGAAAGGGGGCCGCAGCAAAAGGGTCAGCTCCTTGCACTTGCGAAGTCCTGAGGTGCAGGGAGGCAGGGTTGTCAGCTCCTCGCACTCCCTGCATTTTATCAGGAGCCACTGGCTGGTTCTGTCGCTCATCCTCCACCTTGTAGTGACGTGAGTATTTGGCCAGTGCCCGAGGTCGGAAGGGCTGAGGGGTCACAGCCGCCAGCAATCCTTCCTGACCCAGCAAGGTGCCAGGAAGAGGGTGCTTTTGGTGGTTTGCAAAGTCTGTGGAATTTTTCAAGGGCTCTGTTGCTCGGTGAGCTGCTGGCACGTCCCTGGACTCTTGCTGGCTGCTGGCCTTGAAGGCTCCAGCAGGATGTTGGACTCCCCCAGATGACCCGGCGCACGGCTCTTCAAAACCAGGGAACCTACCCTGACCGACCTGAAGGCCATCCTGGGGGGTGCCACTGAACTGAGTGTGCTCGGGCATTTCTTCACCAGCCTTGGAGACAGGCGGGTAGGGAACTGTCTCTTGTAAAGTTGCCAGAGTTTTCTTTTTGGAGAACGGTGCCCTTGTGAAAACGTCGATCTCCTCAGTTTGATTTCGAGCGGTGCTGATTTTGGCCTTGAAAGGAGCCTTGGTGAAAACATCGGCAGTGCCCTGCCCCACATCACAGCTCCTTGGGCTCCCAAAGGGAGCTGCGGAAAACACATCTGCCTCGGTGGTGCTTCCTTCGCTTCTCTCCTTGGCTGGGGCTTCTGGCAGAGCTGTGCCACCTGAACGGACAGGCCCAGGCCGTCCTTCGACCGCGTTCCGGCCCTTCCCAGTCTCCTCATCCTCTTCCGAATCCATCAGGAGAGGCCTGTGGCCACTGCTGTCCAACAGGTCGCCACCATCTTCGATGCATTCATCATCGCTGCTGTGCACAGAGTTGGAGTTGGACAGGCGGGCTTGGCCAGGCCAGTTCATGCTAAGGTTGTCGCACCCTGTGGATTCACCGAGCTCAGGAGCAGTTTTTGCAGTCGCCAGAAACTGCTCCACGGGAAAACCAGTTCCATCAACGGAGAAACCTGGGAACAGAACGACAGCTGGTTAATCCACAGTGAAAGCAGCACGGCGCTCCCTCAGCACACCAAGATCGACACTGAGCCCAGAGGAATTATCTATCAGAGGGACATGAATAAATTCCCAATGTTTACCAAAGACAAATCCACCGCGAGCACTTATACCACTAGCACATAGGAGTCAGGAGCCCACAGTGCACTGAAATGCCATCGAAAGCACACTGTTTCGGGCCATACAAAAAACACTGCTAGCTCATTGCAGCAGTCACCCCACTTCAAGTGGGTAAGTCTGACTGGACTCTGCCCATGGTGCTATCAGACTCAACTGACCGTGTAAGAGCTAGGCTATCACAGCCAGAGGAAGGTCATTGTAAACTCTAAGGTCTGAAACCAGAAGTTAGTTGTGGAAATGTGACACCCCCCTACATTTACAGATGGGCAAAGAGAGAAGCTGGTACAGACAGAGAGATGGACCAGCAAACAGACAGGCACGGCAGGCAGGACAGAGCGAGCGAGAGGCTGGATTGTGATTGAAGGTAGCAACACATGATGGGGCTCTCCAAACTCTGCAAGCACACAGAGTTGCACTCTGGCACTTCAGGAAGAATCACTTATACTCTGTTGCATTATCAGAGCATGAACTCATACCGAAAATCAGTTTTTGAAAGGTCTTGGCATCAAGGTTTGTCCCTGTGTTCAGTCACCATCCCTTTCTACTCTGCTCACCTCCCACTAATAAACACTGCAAACCAAGTCCCAGCACATTAAAGCTGCTAGAAGAGGGCCTCACCCACCACACAGTGCATTTGTGCCTTCAAACACACCCCAGCCCTGATTCTTCCTTGCTGTGGTCTACGAAAGGGGGAAAAACATAGAAAGTCTTTGGTGCCACGGATCACTCTATTGTTACAATACTTCAGTGATAGCAACTGAGAAGCATAGCCTGGGTAGAAGCAGAAATGGGCATTTCAGCAGGCACATAGATAACACATGCAGTAACAAGGAAAAGGTACTTAGTAACATCACTCAGTTGGAGACTATCTGTAAAACTCCGAAGGTGCAGAACTGATTAGGCACAATGATTTTGAGAATTCTCAAGCTGATTAAAAAGTGCTGAGTGGGCATCTTGCAATCAAAAATGCTTTGGCTTGTACTCTGCGATAACTGACTTAGTGACTGAGCAGAACTCCAGAAGGAATTCCAGAGCCAAACAAATTGAGGGAAGCTCAAGCAGGGACCTTTGGCCCAATGAAACACCATGGAGACCCTAGTTTCCTATATGTTAATTGCCAAAACTCACTCAGATTGCAGCAGGGTTTTCTATTTTCAAGTGCGAGAAGGCCACAATTATTTGGAAGAAGTGGGCTTAACTAGATTCCATCTTCTGAATCATCTATTTAGTAATTACAACCTTTCAATTCTTGGTGCATGTTTCTGTGTTGACTCTCACCACCTGTCTCTCGAGATACAAAGGAACTTGCAATATCCTAAACATAGAATCATAGAGCTGTACAGCGCATAAACAGACCCTTCAGTCCAACTCATCCATGCCGACCAGACATCCCAACCTGATCTATTCCCATTTACCAGCATTTGGCCCATATCCCTCTAAACCCTTCCTATTCATATACCCATCCAGATGTCTTTTAAGTGTTGTTATTGTACCAGCCTCCACCACTTCCTCTGGCAGCTCATTCCATATGTGCATCACCCTTTGCATGAATAAGTTGCCCTTTTCGGTTCCTTTTATATCTTTCCCCTCTCACTTTAAACCTATGCCCTCTAGTTTTGGACTCCCCTACGCTGGGGAAAAGACTTTGACTGTTCACCCTATCCATGCCTCTCATCATTTTATAAACCTCCACAAGATCATCCCTCAGCCTCCGACAGTCCAGGGAAAATAGCCCCAGCCTATTCAGCCTCTCCCTACAGCTCAAACTCTCCAAACCCGACAACATCATGTGGAATTATTGGACCAGATTTCAACTGTGTTTAGGCTTGTGGGTTTATACATTGTTAGAACCTCATCTATTTATGATTTAAATAAACAACATCTAGAGTTTTTGTTAATTTAAAGTTTCAGTTAACTGGACACGTAAGCACACTAATGAAAACTGTGTGTTCAAAGACACATTTAGAAAATGTACAACTCTGATTTTGTGTGGACTGAAAGGTAAACTGATGGAACAGTGGCTGTTTTGCCAGAGATCCTCCAATTCTTCTCAATAAAAACAGGATCTGCCCTGTTCAGTCAAGATAAGCCAGCAGCTCTGCTGATAAGACAAGTGAATATGGATTATCATTTTAGCAAAGAAGCAAAATTCAAGCTGACTTATGCAGTCAAGTGCTTAAGAAATGATGAACCTTTCAGGGAAGAGGAAATTTTGCACCACTTGCATATATTTAAACTGGGTGGGAATTCTGACATTGATAGCCAAACAATCTCCTGCCATAGCTCTGTGCATTCCCCATCTTGCAATAACCAAGTCAACGATTTCCTACTTCAGTTCAAATCATGGGAACAGAAGGATCAATTGTCATTTTGCTGAGGTAACGGAGGAGAATGGGTTTACAACTCGAACTGCCAAGCATCAAGTCCGCACCATGCATGGACTGCAGTTATCAATGGCCAGGCAGGTTTTGTAGGGCCTTTTTGACTGGACAGTAAATGGCAGTCTGTCAAAATGCATTTGGCTTTGCTCCATGCCTCAACATCCTTACTTCCAATCCGCACCCCGGGTTTTACGGCAGGGGATGTGCAAACATCAGAGGCATCAGCAAAACCGCAGGCCATGCCTCACTAATGATTAAGTTAGGATTCTGGAGGAAGTGCTTCCAGGAGGCGACTCAGCCTGGTTCAGAAGACAACCAATGTTCGAAATGCCAAACAGAAAGCACAGCAAGCGTACACAGTGAGCTTCTGACATTTGCTGTTTTAATTCCATCCATTTAACACAAGAAAGGAAAATAAATAGAGCAGATAAGGGACATGTTTTCAGCCACTCGAGCAGCGCTGATCTGAGAAGCTGCAGCAGCATCTCTTGGAGACAGCCAAGTAGGGGGCAGCACAAAGAGGGATCGACTCAGGTCTAAGTTGTTAGATGATGCATGTGACAGAGTGGTTGCTCAGACAAGTCAACTGGATATTTGAGGATGGCGCCATACAGACGAGAATGAACTGTCACCACAGATCTCCCAGCAGGAGTAGCTCCAAGCTACAACAATACAAGCATATGCTGGAAACAATGGCAGAATGATGATAGCAATTCATACATAATGCAGAATTATTATATTAAACCAGATTTTTAAAAACATTGTCGCATCAGTCCTGCACTTCTTAGCTTTACATGTATTTTACCATCAACCCACATGTAGCACTGGGTCAACAGAAAATGTTTCCACTTTGGGGCAGACAAAATTCATTTTGCATTTTAATTCTGGAAATGCGAGCAACTTGATGCAAGTACACAAATGGAGTTGGTTTCAACAGCATCACACAGACTGACAGTCAGTTCACGAGACGTGCACAGTCATGCTCAACATGCGACAGAAAGACAAAAGCAGTTTCCAGATATTCTACACGGAGTCCATCACTCTGTAAAATTCCATCCTGCTCATGAATAATACATTCTCTAACACGCAGACAGAATTTTAAATTCCAAAGTAATACTGGCATTGTGTACACTCAGTGTAAAACCCTACATCTTTCGGGATTGCAGACTTAATCCACACACTGACTTGTCAAAACTAAATCTCACCAAATGCTGATGCATTGCGTCAACTGCTGCAGAAATAAACAGCTAAGATTTGGGCTAAAAGTTCATTATAGGCATCACAAATATAACAGCTTTCACAGCATTCTGAACCATCAGTTACCTAATTGGAACTGGAATCAATTTTTGACATATAGAAGGTTCCAGAAACACAGTTTAAAAGATTCTTACCTGAGCACACTGACCATTAGGCTTTAAAGTGCCATTTCTGCCAACTTCCGGGTGCATTCACAGAAAAGCTCAGGTAGAGTTTAGTACAGTATAGAAACAGGTCAATTAATCTTTCATTTCATTTCTCTCTTCCTCATCACATAATGTTTTTTCACGCTGATGGCTTTTCACTTTTACAATCTCAATTCTACGCCAAATATCTCATGGGCTTCTAAGAGCAAGATTTTGAAGTCGCTTTCTTCATTTTCTTTTAAAATACAATTGCATTAATTTACAACTTTTCACTAGAGTTCGGGCTGGGGATATACAGTTGTGCGCTCGTTTTGAGCTCCCATCCTCTGCTCAGATTTCTCAGTGCCTCAGTCCAATCGGCATCAACAAGCCTTCAATAACACTGGTCAGATTTGATAAAACTGCTTCTTTCACAACACCATGTTGTTTAAACTCACCTACAGGGCAGCATCAGCAATTTTACTAGTGCAGCATTACTGACTGCCCAATGCCAACATGGAACAAAGTTGCCCTTCATTGGAAGCACTGAACTTGTTATTAGCAACCAGTGGATGCCCAACTAAGGTTTTTTTATTTATTCACAGAATGTGGATATTGCTGGCTAGATCAGCATTTATTACCCATCCCTAATTGCCCAGAGGGCAGTTAAGAGTCAACCACATTGCTGTGGATCTGCAGTCACCGGTAGGCCAGACTAGGTAAGGACAGCAATTTCCTTCCCTAAAGGGCATTAGTGAAGCAGATGGGTTTTTCTGACATTTGGCAATTATTTCATAGTCATCATGAGACTCCTAATTCCAGTTTATATTGAATGCAAATCAACCGGGGCGACATGGTGGCTCAGTGGTAGCACTGCTGCCTCACAGTGCCAGGGACCCGGGTTCGATTCCACCCTCAGGTGACCGTCTGTGTGGAGTTTGCACATTCTCCCTGTGTCTGTGTGGGTTTCCTTCGGGTGCTCTGGTTTCCTCCCACAGTCCAAAGATGTGTGGGTTAGGTGGATTGGCCATGCTAAATTGCCTATAGTTTCTAGGGATGTGCAGGCTAGAT